TCATATATTTGCTAATAAAAGATGGATTGTGGTATACAGTAGATGAAATGAAAGGAGCAGGAATGTTGAATTTATTGACATAGCAAAAACATTAGTAGATTTCCAAATGCCGGCACAATGGACGAATTTCTTGAAACTAATGACGTGAATGAAATATATGAGGTGTGCATAAGTCAGCCTCTTTGAGTTTGTTGATGATAGCTCAAATTTCGATATTATGGGATGTTTCCTCCCATTGGAGTCATCTCAATAGACATACTCAATTGGATTTTCATTATATGTCAGTCAGTTTTTGGAACGTTGATGAAGTCAACCACATGTGGTAAGTATTCCTTCGCGGCCGAAAAAATATTGGTTTGACTATTTGTAGATATTTTCATCGTCTCGTGACTTTCTATATTTTCAAGTGGTTTCGATAAATTAACTGAGCATTTTCATAAGATTTCAAATTGTCGCTATTGAAGTTATCCGGCTTGGGTATATTATCGATTAGTATATGCCTAGTGTTTCTTTAACTCAGAGGTTCCCAAACTGTTTTTCATTATAGACCTAGTCCTAATTTTAATGGGAGGGATGTACTTCTTGATGGATTGACTGCAGATTATCCGTATTTAGCTTCAGTTTTGTTAGGAATAACCGCAAATTTCTCCGTTCTGTGATATACAATCTGCTTTCTTATTTTGTTGAAAGGTTTGTTACTACTCCAAAACGATACGTTGTACTGAATATGGAATTCTCAAGTTTTTACATGTAACAGTCGCTGAGCTTCTTAAAATATCATCATACCATAGCCAGCCAACCATAGCCAACATATTTATAGAGTAGTTTGAAACTCTGGCCATTGAAGAAGCTCACAAGAAACCTCGTGTCTGGTTGAGATACGTTCACGACACCTTCATATTATAGAACCATGAGAATGTTGAACTAGACGCCTTCCTGAAACAACAACAGCGTAAGATATTCCCTCACTTTCACAATGGAGAAGGAAGTTCTCAACGAATTTCCATTCTTAGATGTAATGATGAAGAGGATCAACACTAAGTGGTAAACATCTGTATACCGAAAACCCTCTCACGGTACAGTATCTGAACCACGAATCCAACCACCATCAATCGACTAAAAGAGGAAACATCAAGACTCTATCAAACCGTGCTTTTGGGCTCTGTAATACGAAGGAAGGTCTCGAGAAGGAACTAGACATCATCAAAAATGATCTTCAACGGAATGACTACTCCAAAGCGATGGTGGAACAGACTTTGGCTAAAAGACAGCAGGAGCCTCGCAAGGAAGAGGAACCGTCAGTCACAACCAGTGCTTGGACTTCCCTACATCAGAAGATTATCGGAAAGGATAAGAAGAATTGGATCCAAGTACAACATCAGAACCTTCTTCAGATCCGGAAACACTATCCGTAGAAGCCTCACGAAAACCAGGCCACCAAACGCGGACTGCGATTCCTAGAATTGCATTTACCGGATACCCTGTGAGTGCGGAAATTCTATATCCGTAAAACTAAGAGGCCATTGAATATTCGCATTGTCGAGGACAAGAAACACACACAGCGAAGGGAAACCAGCAAATCAGAAATAGCAGAGCGTGTTTGGATCCATCAACATAACATCGGGTGGTCCTAAGCTGAGATCATACACAGGGAGGAACATTGGTTTAGGAGGTAATTCAAAGAAGCCACATACATGCTGTCCAACAATGTATTCAGCCAAGCTAGCGCTTGATTATGGAAACCCATAATCAAGCGAAAACCGGTGAAGCGAAAAAAAAAGCGGAGATAAGTGAAAGTACTCGAATGACCCATAAATAGTCATTTCTCGGAGGTATTAGTCCAGTCATCACCCGAAGACGATTGTGGATACTAACAATCGAAACATCGTGAAGTAACTTTTGGCTTGAAATCTCTTAACTTCCTATTTTTATTTTTGTTCAATTGTTCTATTTTTATTTGTATTTTATTTCACTATCATTTCATTTCAGGTTTTTTTTTGCTTATCTTGACTATCGCAAACGGGACCATACACAGTTCATCTATCTTAGCATTACTTCTCCAATGATTTTTGATGTAGTTGTGTACTATAGGCTGCTTCAAGGACTCATTCAAAACTGTATCTGAGAGATTTTCTGGAAGATTAGGTTCATCATTAAATACTTGTCGATTTTCAGTAGCACTGTCGGTTTCGGCAACTTCATTTATTGGTAGAAATTCAGTTTGTTGCATTATTTTTTTATATTTTTTTCCGTAGATGGCTACTCCAGTTTTTTATATATTTGTGTTACATTTATTGAATACCTCTAAATACAATTTATGAAGAGGTACTTGAATCGGTTGAAATAATTTATTTATGGATTCATCTTGCTCCAATTTTTCCAATTTCAAAGCTGAACACTTTTGTCAAATATATCTGGCAAGTTAGGCGATTTTCTTTTTGCGAGCGATTCAATCGTCCGACATCGTGTAACAATATATAAGATTTCCTTCAGAGAAGCTTATACATCATCGGTACCATATCGGGATTTTCTCGGAGGGTGCTTGAACCAGGACAAGTTCATCCTTATTCAGGTGTAGGTACCTGTTAAGATTATAAAAGTATCAGCCATTCACTTTGACGAACCTTCGACGGAGGCACACCTGTGATTCAATAGCAAATTCATAAATCGTATGCGAGATTTATGAATTCGCTTTTGAATCAGATCCAGGTTATGCAAATGATGAAAGAACTTCGATTTTACTGTTTGTTTTTGATACCATAACGCGAAATTATCAGCATTACTGTAATAGTTCTCCATAAAGACTGTAAGCCAATCGATTTCCAAGGGGAAAAGAGTATCATTGTTCTGGAACTCAGAGCTAGAGCTGGAGATCACCCTACAACTGAGCAGCCAATAAACGAAAAACTTTCGAAGCGTCAACAGCAGCAAATTGTTTCTACGTTCTCGATAAGTTCTGTCACTTACAAAAGACGAAAACATGTTGCCATTTCTGTAGAGATTGAACTGAAACCCTTTGTTCAAGTTCATTGTACTTTCATTTAAATTAGTTGCTCTGGATTTCAATTTGTATTTTTTACCGTCTGTATTAGTTTATATATTGTATGCCGTCCATGTATTCGTTCACTTTTAAACATTTACTGTAATTCATTGGACGATTAGAAACACTGTTGCTTGTTTATTTACAGATTTGAAGAAAATAATTCTGATCTGTGGTTTTGAAAGACAGGCCGACCTCAATATTTTTGTCTGTATGGCTGGTTGCATATGAAGTACACACTGCCGTTTGAAATGTTAAAACTTCGATTTCAATACTCGGAACTTTTGATACGCGCATATGTGTAAAAACTCCACATTTCTTTTAGATTTCATCTAGGCTTAGTTGCTTAATGCGCCTGAATGAAAGCAAAAGCCAAAAACAGAGAGAGAGAGAGAGAGATTGCTTCCTTTTGCCGGTAGAACTCGAAAGTCAAAACCTCGCTTTACTTCATATAATTTTTTTTACCTTCAAGGATTGGATATACTTTCATTAGTGGTCGCTTTTGATCAACTCGAATAGGTATAGGAGTCATAATTTCATATTCATTTTGATTGATTGACGTCGTGCACACATGCATATTTCAATTAAGATTTGGAATGTGTCTAAAATTCAGAGCAGATGAATCCACTAGTTTCATTCCCTTCAAAGCTCTGAGAGAAAATTTCATATTGAACAAAATTAACCTTGTCCGTTTGTGCAATATTCAATTTTCATTTTTCAAATGTTTTGATAATTATTGTGCTATTCCAGGCGGAGATAAGTCCAACAAGTCATAAATCACAAAAATCGGTCCAACAGAAAAATAGAAAAGTGTCATTAGAGTTCTAGTACTTTCAATCTCGACTTTCAAGTTCCTAATGTTAATTTTTCGACCTTCTGCGCACTTCTCAATTTAATATTGTGTTCTCTCATCTCTGTCACGACATAGTTGTTAATGTTTTGCGCAATTTTAAATTTGTTGTTTATCATTGTACAAGTATTGTTGTTGTCCACAAAAAAAAACTATACTTCAGTACTCCGTGATTTAAATTTTTGTTAAAAAATTGTGCCTCAAAATCATGTGTGAAGCAAATACGCATACGCCAAATATTAATTATATTGTGTTCATAATGGTATCGAAATTTTTCTTAATGATAACTTGATGTAAATTTAAATTTGGCTGCATGTTTCTGGGCAAAGTTCTAATGATAATAAATTGTGTTTATAAAATGTACAAGTGTGTCACTTATTAAAGAACCCAGAAAGGTAACAAAATAAAGATACTCACTAGTTACTCAAACATAAAATTAAATTTTCAATATGTTGGGCAAGTATGATGCGTCAGGCCCTCTTATTAATCCATTATTCTTATTTCAATATTTTTTTACTCTTCCAGTCATTTTCAAAATATGGCTCAGAGAAGTTGAAACCAAAGATTTTCATCCAAAATCCTGGGATCAGCTTGTGCAAACTTTAGGTTAATATGTTTTGATTTAATTACATTGTCATGTACGTTTCTGTTGGGCTTTTGAGAAGATTTCTCTAAAACTTGTCAAGTACCCTAACGCCTTACTTCGCAAAAACTTTTGTACAACCTACCCATTATCCCAGACTTGAACCACAATTTAAAAAATGTATGACTATTTTATGTTGTGTTCCACTTGGACCTGTTTCTTGATTACCTCCAGTACTTCTGAAAGGCATTGCATTTGATCTACTCCTAGTCAATCTTTATTTATTCTAAATATTAACATAAGTAATAAAATCTGTTAATAATATGAATATACATATTTGAATTTAATTGGCCCTGTGATAGTTCCTTTTTATTTAAATAATGTTCCAGATTTATATTACTATTTTTTTTCTATATAAATTAACAGATATCAAAACAAAACAGCATAAACTCATTCGTACATGTTATGAAAACAATTATAAGGAAAAACCTGAAAATCAATAAGCATTCAATTCAAAAACATACGGGTGAAATCTAAAAAAATATATTTACATTCAATAAATTAACTTGAGTAATATCATCCGAGTATCAACTTTATTATAATCATTATAATATTGAGAAGAATCAGCGGAACTGAAAAATAAATTGTATTTAACATTTTATGTAACAATTTCTTCATCACTTACTTCTTGCCACTGTTCTTATGGAATGTATTAGGTTGAAGATTTGCGATTTTGCTGAAGGATTTTCTCCAAAGCCTTGAACGCTGGGACTTTTAGAACTCCATCCAACTGAAAATCACCATAGACATGTTGAAAAATGCACTTTCACTTTGATATTTCCATCTTTATCATTCAAGTCAGTTTGAACAAATTCATTTCAAGCGTAACCTTAGGCCCATGTAATTTTAAATTTTTTAGAGGACAATTTACCAGATAGAAGTCAAGCCCAAAGCGCTTATTTGGACGGTTTTGAATGAAAATGTTATAAACTCAAGAATGAATTCCTTGAAATTGATCTTAATCATCACATTTACTAACTAACTAGACATTAACTGATAAAATGATTACTACAACACCTAAATATTTTTAAGAACAGAATATGTCAACAAAAAACAAAGAATGTTGGGAGAAAATATACATAATATATACATGACAACCTTCGTATAGAGGCTAATATTGACAAGTTTGATGACTCCACACAAAAAATCTAAATCTGTCACATTTGTTTACAAAAAAATTTTTCATACAATATTATAACGTATTTACTAACAGAATGCAGTTCTTTTCGGGATGATCTATAGCCCCAAAGCAGGAAGTAAGTGATTGAGTGCTATTATTTGCCTCTTCTCCAGGAGATGGAAGCTAATGACAAACAGCCAGTCTCCAAATACAAATTGTTGGAAATCATTCAAATATTTTAGAATTACTTCTATATATAGGAGCTTTGGAGGTGACATTTTAGACATATTCCTATATAAACAGTCAGCTCTAGGGAATATCCTTTCTAACTCAGCAGAATTATGGAAACTGATGTAAAAACATGTATGTTTTCCTGCCAAAACTAATGCTGGATCATTTGAACTTCCAATAAATTCCAAGTTTAGTTGTAGGAATAAGTTACGTTCAAGTATATTATATTTTCATGTTGGACAACTCACTTTTTACCAAAAACCTGTCTTCATTTAGTATGCAAACCGAATTCAAACATAATATTGTAGCTTCCAATAAATTCCACAATGTAAATGCCATTTTATGAAAATTTTATACGCAACCTCTCTCCTACACTTTCTACAAGGTATTTCAAAAATGAAATATAAAAATCAAGAATACTTCAATAGATGACAGGTGGATGATGGATGTCAAAGTCAGTTCAAATAAACATAACCTGAATTCTCTTCTTCCGTCTCTTTTTTGGTCTTGACTTCTGATTCTTTGATCCAGATCCAAAACCATACAGTTTCCAATCAAATAATCGAAAAATAAAAAGGAATATTGAAGTTTGTTGCTTTTATTTTCAGTTAATTTCAAATTCTGATGAGTCGAAAGGAAACAAAAATCACAAAAGGTCTTTATCATTCAAGAATATTTGAGATCCTTTGTAACACTTTGTGCCCTGTACTAGTTTGTACAAGTTCCTTGCTAGATGCACGTCATATTCTTCCAGGCATAATTTAGGTTGTCCATAAATTATTTGCCTCCTGTGTTCCGATGTTTTGCATTCGTATAAAATATGACGAGCTGTCTCTATATATGGAATGATGTTCAACTGATGAAGCTACTGTGTAGCGAAACGCGAGTCATCAAGTCACAGGTTAGTGTATTCATAGTCAGAGAACCTTGACTTTCAATTTAGCAAGCTATGGCCTATTCAAGCTTTTGAAAATCTGACGATATATAAAACATGCTGCACACCAACAGCATATGCAGGAATAACTTTTGTGAAGAATCCTGCACTGACACCTGTCGGATATAATCTAACGGCCTCCGTGATATTAGCCAGGGGAGTAATTATTTTCTGATAGGTATCAGTCCATTAACCTACAGTGTAGTGAGTTAAGACTGGCCTGAACAAATTGTTCTTTTAAATAATTTGCATAAATAATAGTTGTGAAATCATTGAATTTATCATTAATTTATTCAAATTTTAGTTAGAAAATAAAATATCGAGTGTAATGCTTCACCGCTATTATTCCATGGCAAACCTAGCAGAAGAATTGAAATAAAACGTGGGCCTTATTTTCAAAGACGTAAACTCACTTATTGAGATACATGATCATCAAGAACCAAAGTTGTAGTTAATAGTCCCACTAAAGGAGTAGGTCCAAGAGGGGGGAAGAAGAAGAAAATACGGAGTGGCAACCCTGTCACAGGTGACTTACACTTTTTATTAAAACTGTTAGGTTAAGGATGAACGTCAAATAAAACTTAATTTGTGTTTTCTACGTATGCAGGATACAAGAAAAAAGGTCTCATTAAATTCATATACATAATTGTAGAGGATAAAATCGGTTTTGAAAAAAGGAAACAAGAATGGCTATTTTCAGTCCATTTGTCTATTGGGCACAAGATGAAAAAAGTATATTTTTGAAGATTGATTTGAAGGATGTTAAAGTAAAAATTTTAAATCGATTCATGAAATTTATAATTGCTATTCATAACATTTCAGGATCCAGACATATCAGTAGAAGAAAAACAGATATATTTCCAATCCAAAGGCACTGGGGCACAGGGATTGACAAACTATGAATTTCTTATTGATCTTCACTCGGAATTGAACACAAATGTAGGTTAACCACTGAAAAAATTTCAGAATATAAGTATTTTGCTGGCCATTCTCAAACAAGATTTGAATATTTTGATAAAATTTCACTTAATGATGGGAGAGAGGTGACTTCCTCGATAAAGTCATTGAAAAAGCAGTTTATGAACAAATGTATGAACATATCAGACAAAATAAAGATACTGCAAGCGCACTTGCCACAGTATTTATTACCGCAAAATATGCATGGCTAAACTTTGTTACTACAGTTTAAATAAACAACAGTCAATCATTTTTCAACAGTGTATCGATAATAACATGCAATCAGAGGTAAATATGCTACATAGTGCCTACTAGGTTTCTATAAGTGCAGCTCTCTCAATTATCTTACAGTTTTGATTTTTCTAGTATACCAAAAAACTCTCAAATGCATACCTATAGACACCAACCTATACTTTTTCGCAAAAATTAATGTATGTTTTTTTCTTTTACGGCCAGAGGTCAATCAATTCAATTCAATCAACATAATAAAAGTATTACAACAACTGAAATATAAAAAAAAAGTTAAAATATGTTTATGTGCTGCACATATTTTCAATAATGATTTTGAGGAACTATTGAAAATATCAAGAAATTTCTGTTCATACATCAACCTGTAATTGATCGTATGGTATCTCAGGGTTGTAGTGGATCAAACCTGGCTCTTTGTAGTGAAAAGCAGAAATGTGGTAGACTGTTTATTCTCAGATGACTTGACAAAACTAAAATAGTGCACGTTTAGATTTACACTTGAATTTTATATCCTTACCTAACAAGAGCTTATGGTTTACTGAATCGTCTTCACTCTAGAAACATCACCTAATTGATAAGTATTTGAATATTCAATTTTTCAAATTATCAGTTTTGACTATTTCAGCCCATGTCTTATTCTAGTATCCTTTAGGATCGTGTGAGTTCTACTGTTCTATATTTTGCCACTAGATAGTCAGTCAATCCTATTATGCCAATAGTGTGAAATAGTTATTTCCAATCTGTCCCATTGTTTATATAATCCTTCAATTTCCAGAGTAAAAATGTAAAAATCACAGACCATAAGATTGATATAACTCTAACTAAAGAACAGAAGGGTTTTTGGCCCCGTTTAACATCAAGACCACAAAAACCTGCCTGGTTGAAAATTGATTTCGATAAATGGAAGTCTGAAGATGATCTTCTAGAAGAAAAAGTTGGCAACGTTTTGAAAGATTATCCTGATTTATATGACCAGTTGCAAAAGGAGGAACTGGGGTATAGAAAAGGTAGATATTGCACATGATAGAATCTTTTTTATTTTACTCTAAATGAAAAGGTTATAATTTAATCATCGATTTTTATATAAAGATGAAAGTCGATGGTTAATGAATACTTTACTATTTAGAAACAATTTTAATGAGGATAAGGATCATGTGAGGTACCATTTGAAATCTAATGTTAACATATATCATAATGCACCTTATTTCATCAGGTGTAAATAAGGTGCATTATGTATTGAAGTGAAACAGAGGATGATGAAATTCATGCAGCACAATGGATGCAATTTTATTTTCTTCTCAAGGAAACATACATGAGTTTAAATGAGGGTAAAGTGGTTGCATCAGTATAATGTGATTTTTCGAAAACAATTGAAACGGTGCTGTTAAATAAGCTGCATTGTTATGGTTTCAGAGGATTTGTTTACGAATGGTTTGAGTCAAACCTACTTGGCAGAAAACAGAGTCTAAAGATTTCAAATGAACATCCAGATCAGGATCAACTGAAAACGGCCATAGCTCAAGAAATATATCTTGGTGTCACTCAAATTCTCTTTGTGTCAATGTAAAAAAACATAACCTTCAAATTCGAATTTGATAATCTCATCTTAGATGAATATCAAGTTTGGTACAGGAAATAAATCATTGTTGATGAGTGATAGCTTATAACCAGTTGATAAGATCATATATTTTGTTTTGGAGGTGTTGAGTTTTAGTTTATTGCGATTCATGTACTTGAAAACATTTTTTAGTTCAGTATTCATTTGATCAGCTACTATTTCTATATTATCTCCTGAAATTGATAACAGAGTGAGCCTAATGAAATTATTGCCAGGGGTTATTGCAGGATCAGAGCAAGGGGCCATTATAGACCTCTGTTTAAAACATTTTTTAGTTCAGTATTCATTTGATCAGCTACTATTTCTATATTATCTCCTGAAATTGGTAACAGAGTGAGCCTAATGAAATTATTGCCAGGGGTTATTGCAGGATCAGAGCAAGGGGCCATTATAGACCTCTGTTTGTTAGTCAGAGAATTTTGACTGTCACTAATCTGTTTATCCTAGAACTGTCTCCACATGATTCTACCAGGCATTAAATAATTACTCGAAACAGTAATTAATTCCATTTGCCTATCCCTAAAACTACTCTCACGAAAAATTTGCTCATTTATGAAAGCAAGAAAGTATATAACCATCTGCCAGCATATATCAGAGTCGTAAAAAGCTTCACGAAGTTCAGGAGGGAAGTGAAGAATTTTCTCCTGCCTGAAGCGTATCATAACTTCCAAGAATATTATGATGAATTTTAACAATTCACCTACTTCTCATGTATGTAGCTCCGCCCCTAAGCATACCCTGAAGCTGCTGGATTCCATCCAGAAAAGAGCCATCCGCCTGATTGGAAACACGAACTTCACTTGAAACCTTGATATTCTGGAACATCGAAGAAAGGTTGGAGATTTGTCACTCTTTTATAGATACTTTCACGGGAGGTGTTCAAGTGACTTGGCACAGTTGATTCCACCAAGCGCGGTACATATCATAAATACGTGACGGACTGTGACTGCTCATCGTTTTCAGGTTCAACTCAGTACACCTCGAACTTCACTGTTTAAAAACTCTTCCATTTGGAAAACTGCGTTTATGTGGAATAAACTTCCTGAGAACGGTTTTCCAAACGAATTTAATCGCCAGCGATTCAAATCCAAAGTTAACCTCCACTTTCACACAGGCGAAACACTTGATTAGGAGATTTTTACTAAACAGTTTTACAAAAACACAACACGTGTTTCGCCATACAATGGCTTTTTCAGGCATATCTTTACTCCATCTAAGATGAGATAATCAAATTCAAATTAAAAGGTTATCATGTTTTTTTAAATATTGCTGGAGTTTTTTCCCAACACCAAACCGTTATTTTAATACCTCACACGTGTTTCGTTCATCAAGTGATCATCATCAAGAGGAAGATCAGTTTTGATCTTCCTCTTGATGATGAGGAAGATCAGTTTTGATCTTCCTCTTGATCAATTTTGATCTTTCTCTTGATCAGTTTTGATATTCCTCTTGAAGATGATCACTTGGTGATCAAAACACGTGTCGAGGTGTTAAAATAACGGTTTGTTATTAGGAAAAAACTCCAGTAATATTCGTTACTACACCAACGTTTCCAAACAAAGATAATTTTAGTGACACGCCCAAAGAAGCCATTGTATCGTCCAATTACATTACATAATGTTGCCTTTAACTCTATATTATATCATTGAGCTATTGCTATCTTGTAATTATTGATTAGACCTATCACATTTATATATATTCTTGCGCAAACTTTTATTTGGTGATCGATCACGTGTTCGAAACACGTGTCGAGGTGTTGAAAATAACGATTTGGTGTTGGTAAAAAACTCCAGTAATATTCATTACTACATCTAAGGTTCCAAACAGTGCATCATAAATTCATTTCCATTTTTATTGTACTTGTATTACTGTAATAATGTAAATTTATGTATATTTTCAGTAATGATACTTTTTATTATCTTATCTTAGTAAATATCGTTTGCAGATTCATGATTCTAATAGTTTTGTCTTAAGAACTCTATTTCTGAGACAATAAGCACAGTTCGATTTATTAACTTTCCGATTAGTTTATAAAAAAAAATTAAATAATTACTGTAATATTGTAAGTTTATGTATATTTTTAATAATGATACTTTTTATTATCTTATTGTATTTAATTTTATTGTATTTATTATATGTTTTATTGTATTTAATACACTGCAAATACGTCCGGTAAATATCTTTTGCAGATTCGTAATTCTAATAGTTTTGTCTTAAGAACTCTATTTCTGAGACAATAAAGCACAGGTCGATTTATTAACTTTCCAATTAGTTTATACAAAAAAAATTAAGTAGCAGTGGCTAATCCATTAGTATCATTCCTATCAAATTATAATGTTTTCCAATAACCAACTTGGCTATCGGAAAAATAGGTCTATCGAAACAGCTCTTTGAATAATAATATATTTCTTTCAGAGGATTTCAAGAAAGTCTACCTCACCTTCTATAATCTCTTCATGTTCATAGGCTTCATGTACATTACGTGCGTTCTTTGTTTGAAGTACACGCGTGATGGACCTGATTTTTTCCCAGTAGTATACGAACATGTTGGTCGAGTAGTGTGCGTCATGCAACTTCTACAGTGTCTAGAAATCCTGCACCCTCTTTTCGGGTATGTTAAGGGAGGTATGTTCCTGCCCTTTGTTCAGATTGTAGGAGGACTGTTCGTATTATTTTTAAATGTGGAGAAGGAGCCCAGGATACAGAAAATGCCAGTAGTGTTTTATCTGTTTCTCTCGTGGTCTGCTATTGAAATTATTAGGTAAGTGATTATGAGTTACTGAAGATAACGATGTTTTAAGTCATCCTGAAAATTATATAACTTTTGACTTGAGTCAAGCTCTCGGCATCATTGATCATAAAATAGAAAGAGTAGAAAGAAGAGGAATTGTTAACAATTGGCTAAATGTGTATTTTGAAGAAGGAAGACAATTTGTGGAACTCAACCAAAACAGATCTGATATTCAGATTTGTCTAAGGCAGTGCCACAGCTATCCCTTATTTATAACATTCATAAACAATCTCATTTTTTCAGAAACAAATCCATATCTACAAATATAGAAATGAAGATTATTCATCACTTAAATTTGACAAGTGCAACAATAAGAAATGTAAATACATGAAAACTTACTTCAAAACATTCGTGATGGTATTGAATCAGATTGGTACACACAGCATTGCTACAGCCCTGAATGAAAGCAAA